GATGTGGGGCTCGATCCCAGGACCCCGGGATCATGACCTGAGCCGAAGGCAGACGCTTAACGACTGAGCCACCCAGGCGCCCTCATCTTTGTTTCTAATGACCAAAAGAGTTTGATTAACACGGGGATTATCCAGAAACTGAAATATACACAGAATTTAGCTACAAACTTTCTGTGCCTGATGGTGGCCTTTTCAGTGGCAAGTCTTTAACAACCTTTCAAATTTCTTCTACAGTTATTTGTTATGTTCAGAGTTTCTACTCCTTGGTAAAAATCTGTAACTGACACTTTCTAGAAAATCATTCATGGGAAAAGCAAAACTTGCTTGTTATGACAAGTCCCAAAACACTAAGATTTATAAAGAAAAAGCCAAATTTTCCCTATCCATACCCACAAGCTTCTCTCTCCATGCCCAAGTGACCAGGATTTTGGTTTGTATTCTTCCTCCCTTACATTCATACTATATATATATATAAAACATTCATAACCATATATATACATGGTTTTTACACACATATATACACACATGCACACTCCTTGATATGGGCTGAATTGCCAAATACACACCCCTTGAAATAGACTGAATCGTACACTCTCCCCTACAATTTATATGTTGAAGCCTTAACCCCCCATGTGACTGGATTTGGAGATAGGGCCTGGCCTTTAAAAAAGTAATTGAGGTTAAATGAGGTCACTAAGGAGGGGCCCTAATCCAATATGACTAGTGTCCTTATAAGAAGAGGACGAGACACCAGGGATGCACTCCTACAGAGGACAGGCCAGTGAGAAGGCTGTCTGCAAGGCAAGGAGAGAGGACTCAGGAGAAACCAAATCTGCTAAAACTTCATCTTGGACTCCCAGCCTCCAAAACCGTGAGAAAATAATTCGTTAAGTCACACAGCCTGTTGCACGTTATGGCGGCTCCAGCAAACCAATACAACACTCATATAAGGGACAGCCTTCTTTTTTATAAAAATGGGTTCATGCCATAGATTTTACACTTAGCTTTTTTACCACTTAAAAACAGATCATGGCCATCTTTTAAATCAACATGTCCAGCTCTACTTCCTTTCTTTTCCATAGCTGCAAAATGTGCCATAGTACACCTCAAACGTAAGTTATATAACCATTCCTCAAATGAAGCACAGTCCAGTGTGCAAGGATACAACACTACTCACACACACAAACATATAACCTATTGGTATCACTTCTGTAGAGAATTAAATAGTGGAATACCTAGGTCAAAGGGATGCATATTTTAGATTTTACTATACATATACTATATAGTAGAGCTTCACAGTATTTTCTACAAAGCACTCACAAAAAGCAATGAAGGAGACCATCTTTCCACTTTCTTACCAGAAGTGTCTCACTCAGAATCTTTTAATGTCTGCCCTAAGGATGAAAGTTCACCTTGACGGTGTGATTTCTATTCCCCTACTAGGGAGGTTAAGCAACACATTTTTACGTTTATTAACAAATTGCACCTTCTCTTCCATGAATTGCCTATTCAAATTTTTTGCCTGTTTTTCTATTACTCATGTTCTCTTTTTCTTTGGAAAAAAGTCCTTATACTAATGCCTTGTCTGTCAAACATTTCACAAGAATTTTCTCCCAGTTCACTATTGTCTTTTGCCTTTGTTTACTGTACTGTTTGCCAGACAGAATTTAACATTTATACGTAGTCAAATTTGTCAGTCCTTCCCTTTATGCATTCTGAACTTCCTCAGACTATTCACATCTCCTAAATTTTCTTCTAACATTTTTGTTGTTGTTGTTTCA